GTTAGTCACGTGGGACACTTACCCGTATACCATGGCTCATGAAATGTAGGTATGAGCCACAGGTGACAGACAGTTTACATCGGCCCATGAGGCCGGCGGTAACAGACTTTCAAAAATCTTTAAGCGACCGCGTTTCCAGCTTGCGAGTCCCAAAAAAAGAGTGCGGTACAGGCATCAGCAGCGTTGTCGGGGGGAAGGGAAATATCAGATGCGCGTGCGGAAAGATTGAATGAAAATCGTGACTAGAGCCCCAACTGATTGATTGATATGTGGGGTTTAACGTCCCAAAACCACTATATGATTGAGAGACGCCGTGTATAGTGGAGGGCTCCGGAAATTTCGACCACCTGGGGTTCTTTAGCGTGCACCCAAATCTGAGCACACGGGCCTACAACTTTTCCGCCTCCATCGGAAATGTAGCCGCCGCAGCCGAAATTCGAACCCGCGACCTGCGGGTCAGCAGCCGAGTACCTTAGCCACTAGACCACCGCGGCGGGGCACAGACCCCGATGGTCGGGTGTTCGATCCCTGTCGCGATGATCGCATTTCGATGGGGGTGAAAGCTATACTCCTTTGTATACTATGCAATGTTAGCGCACATAAAAAAAAACGCCTTGTGGTTTAAATTTCCGAAGCCCTCCACTACGACGCCCCTCATACCGTAAAAGAAATTTTCGAACGTAAAACTCCTGATAATATTATTTAGAATTATTATTATTATTATTATTATTATTATTATTATTATTATTATTATTATTATTATTATTATTATTATTATTATTATTATGTCGATGACGGCCACTTTCTTTAAAAAAAAAAAAAACGGGCCCACGCAGTCGCACGGTCACGGATGTAGTGCGGAGGGAAGCCAAGGACGGTTTCGCGCGCGGGCACTCTGATATCAGCTGCGGCTATAAGCGCTGGCCCGGCTGATAAGGAGCGACAGCGTGACAGACAAGCCGCTTGGGATGCCGCTCTTATCGTCTCAGTTAGCCGCGATAAGTGACTCGGCGAATATTGCTACTCCGAGCCGCGCGCGCTTATATACCTGTAAATACGCGCAGGCTTAAGGAAGGATCTTTGCTAATCCCGTGGATCACGGCACGCGCACACTATCTATAACAATAATAATATCCGAGTTTTTTTTTTTTTACGTCACGGAACCACGATATGGTCGACGCCGTAGCGGAGGGCTCCTGGAATTTCGACCACCTGTTTGTTCTTCAGCGTGCGCTGAGATCGCACAGTATACACGAGGTTCAACCATTTCGCCTTCACCAAAATGCGACCGCGCGGCCGGCATCGAACCCGCGACCTTTGAGTCGGCAGCCGTGCACTTTGCCCCTGTATTCACAACTCCTCGATTCGACTTTCACCCTTCACTTGACTTAGTTGAGCACTGCGCTACCGCTCAGCTGGCAATGACGCTGCGCTAGTCGAGAATCACAGCATATTATCGCAGATATGCAGTGACTTGCCGTGCCTAAAGACGGCGCTGCCATCGGCTTTCTCAAGTGAAGGTGGAGCTTTGAGTGAAGGAACGTTCCAGAATACGGGGGTTAGCCACTGATGCACCGGGGCGGACACTTGCGAGACAGAGGGAAAGGGCACGGGAATTTCATTTAGTGTAATTGCATGAGTTAAACTGAAAGGCGGAGGAGCGAAATAACTACGTCACGACTCGCGAGTGATGATAATGGTCTGCACGAAGGGAAGTGAAATTCTTCGAGAAGCTCGTTTCCTTGTCAGTGAGAACCAAATGAATCCACTACAAACTTATGCTGCAGGTAAAGCACAGGAGACGTTAATTGCAGTCCTTAATTGTAGTGTAGTAATAGTGATGTATACGTTGACGCGAACTATAAAGTGTTAAAAAAATCGCCCTTTCGCCACCGGCGGGATTCGAACGCACAACCTTCAAATACGCCTGCGATGCTCATTCAGCCAAGATGAAAAACGCCTTCACATCCATACAGTTGAGTATTTTTTTTTTTCTGAGCGTGTAAGTCTTGGGAGTGTTATAGATAACGCCGCACGTAAGCCACGATGGCGAATGCGAAACTCTTCTGGTCAGAGGGCGTGACGTGTCACGTGACTCGAAGGTGGCGGGTTCGGATCTCGCCGACGAAAAATGTTGCGTTTCAACTCGTGCTATAATTACTACGCTGCAGTTATAACTCATGCTATAATTACAACGCCCGCCTATGCCCCCCTTGCTTGGCCTAAATGTGAAGTCATTGCGACAATATTTATTTACTGATCGTTAATGAAGTCGTTTTGCTCTTAAGTGACACAGTTGAAAAGCTAACGTGCAAAAACATTTCTTGACATATCCATGCTTATTACTGAATCGGTTGTCTGCATAAATATGTGAAAGTGATCTAGTTAGAGGTTCTGTTAACACATTTGTAGAATAATTGAACGTTTCATATAGACCGCTGTATCATTTCGATGGTCGATTGTTCCGCCGGGGAAAGTGTTGAGAATCGCAAAATATTTATAAATAAAGGAAAAGAGTGAAGGCTCAAGGTTATAACTCTAGAACTTCGCAAATAAATAAAATGAGAAAAAAAAGACAGGAGGCAGAGGTCGCCAGTCTCTGTCACACTGCTCTGAATGTCGATTGTAAAAAAAAAAAAACGAACCAAATTTACGCAGCGACTTGTGTGTAAAACTCTTTCTAAATCAACACTCGCAAACATTGCCCCGCCACGCTGGTCTAGCGGCTAAGGTACTCGGCTGCTGACCTGCAGGTAGCGGGATCGAATCCCGGCTGCGCCGGATGCATTTTCGGTGGAGGCGAAAATGCCGTAGGCCCGTGTGCTCAGATTTGGGTGCACGTTAACAAACCCCAGGTGGTCGAAATTACTGGAACCGTCCACTACGGCGTCTCTCATAATCATATGGTGGTTTTGGGACGTTAAACGCCACATATCAATCAATGTAAATAAATCAAGAACGAACCAAATTTGCGTAGTAACTTGTGTGCAAAACTATTTTTAAATCAACACTCGCGAACACTTCTCATGTTAGATGCAATGTCATTAACGCGGGCTGTCCCAATTGCGATGCACCGATGTTTCTAAAGAGACAGTGGGATTGGGCGTGTTGGTATAACATCATAAAGGGTGCTTACCAGCGCAAACGACAGGGCAGGAGTGGACAGGAGAAGAGACAAGATCAGCGCTCTGTCTCGTCTCTTCTCCTGTCCCCTCCTGCCCTGTCGTTTGCGCTGGTAAGCACCCTTTACGATGTTTCTAGGATGAACTACGTTACGCATGTAGACCTTTTTTAACGGAAAGACACCTCCTCTCTCGACTGTTTCACGGCAGTACAAACGCTTGCGTTTGCACTGACGTCACAGCTTTACGTCACAGCCTCGGCAATGCATTCTTGCGGAGTCGCGCATATTAAACAACAGCCCAGAGGTGAACATGGCCGCGCACACAGGGGAGCCTTCGTGGGCGAAGTAGATGCAACTTCATAGACACGGTTCTCACTGTAGTTGAGCATCTGCCAGCTACCTTTTGGCGAATGTTTAACTGGGATTACCAATCTAGCTCTGCGTCAGTACTCTACTAATTATCAGTCACGAAGTGATTCATTTGTAGACATTTCCTTGGATTCCTCTAACTGCAGCCTTTTTCAGCTGCGTATCGTTATGGTTTGTTTGCAAATTTTGCGGGCTGATAAAGACAACCCTCGAATTGTGAACAATGATAAGCGACTGTCACTCTTTTTTTTCTCTTCGATGTGGCTATCTTTCAGCGTGTCTGTACCAGTGCGCCTCGTTCCGGAGAGGCCTTTCTGTATCAGCTATATTGAAAGTGAGCACGTAGTCTGAATGCTGCTGAAAATCTGGAAATTATGTAAACCTGGTATAGGCATGACGCAGTTGCATACGTCTAAAACAAGCGTAAAGTCTACAAAATGTTTCACCTTTAAACTCACTCGGACTCGGGTCGAGATGTGGGTTCGAGTGAGCCATAAACGCGAAGTATATTTTATGAGTGAGTCTGTCACTGAGCTCAGCAAGTTTCGCCGACCTGTGCATGTGTAGACAGAATTCGAAAGGCTTAAGAATTCGAAGCCTCGCATTTGTCGATTATAAGCAATTTTCGTTCGATCGACTGACGCCTGAGGTGTATGTAGATTACCACGGTGATTAACTGGGAACGTTCCTCTTCGCGTTGCCGCTCGCATCCTTTCCTGCCTGTCCCGCCGCGTTGGTCTAGTGGCTAAGGTACTCGGCTGCTGACACGCAGGTCGCGGGTTCGAATCCCTGCTGCGGCGGCTGCATTTCCGATGGAGGCGAAAATGTTGTAGGCCCGTGTGCTCAGATTTGGGTGCACGTTAAAGAACCCCAGGTGATCTAAATTACCGGAGTCCTCCACAACGGCGTCTCTCATAATCATATGGTGGTTTTGGGACGTTAAACCCTACAAATCAATCCTTTCCTGCCTCTCTTTCCCACGCGTTAGTGACATGCTTACACTCGTTAGTGTATATATTGTGCAGCATAGATTCGGCGGTTTATTTAACCGTAGTAGTCCGGGGGAATCACGAGGCTCGTTAGCTGCGTTTTTAATGTGTGTGCAGTGTGTGGTTATGCTTGCTTCTGTCACGAATGCCGGGTTTAGGAGAAGCACGCCATTCGAAGCACACGGTCGTCCCCGTAAAGTGAACACCAACCACATTAGTAGTATTTCTTCGACCTTTCGTAGAAGCCGATGTTTAATACACATTTCGGAAAATTATTAACGTGCTTGCCGACACCTCGATTACACGTCATGTAGCGAAAATTTTTTTCGTGTAGTGGAATGAACTTTCTACTTTTGTCCGTTTGAGTATACTATAAGGGTGTTCAACTTATAAATGGTCGACCCTGTACGTGAACAAACGATGATCATGGCGCGGATTCGTTTTTTTTTTAATTTTTAGTTCAAATTAAGAGGCTCGTCACGTTATTACCCATAAAGAGTTACCGCAAGAAGACTTACCGTAATTCTTGGCGACTATCGAAAAATCCTCTGCTCCAGGCGTCGTTATGTTTCCAATCGTCCGGCGACACATTCGGGGTGCGAATCGACGCACGGCTTTGACGACGTCTCCCGATCGCGCAACCGTTGTCGTTTCCCGGCACTGCTGACGTTCCCCGTCGTCACTCGCTGCGACGTCGTCGGGAAGGGCCCCTTATCGTCGCGGGCAAGCGACGCCACTCCTCGCCGGTTCAGATAACGTCGCGCTGCGGTGGCGGCGTTGTCGACGCATGCAGATGCGTTGTCGCTGTGTAGGCCCCCCACGATAAGGAGACGCCGTCGTAGTTGGTCTTCTTCCAACCAGGAGTGCGGAGAAGTGTCTATAGTGGTGACGGGTGCAAACGTTCCTCCACCGCCCGTATCGACGATGCCATGCGAGAGCTCTCCGCGTTGAATCATCCTCGGCCGCGCCGTAGAATAGCGCGTTGTATTATCCTTCGTTCTCGGACGACGACCCGGGACCGTTTTGCATGTCCCACCGCCGGCCCTGCTGCTGCATACTATTTCGGTCGGCCAATCGAGCGCCCGCAGCAGCGCGGTCACTTTCCCCCGAAATATATATACGGCCCGGAGGAAAGACTCTCGAATTGGTTACGCGGTGGTTATATTAACCGGGAGATGCGAAGAGACGCGCGCGCAATTTTGGCAGGCTGCGCTGCAATTGTGGCGTAACCGAGCCGCGCATGGTGCGGGCATTCTGGAAGAGTGGTTTGACAGAAAGTCCACTGAGGGGACAGGTGGTTCGAGCGAATACCAGCAGCACCAAAAGAAAGCAGAAGTAACCGAGACAAGGAAAAGAGAGAGAGATAAGAATGGATGCTTTCTTTTGGTGCTTCGGGTATTTACACCAAGCCTATTAACCAACTTTCCCAACAAGCCACTCTAACGAAAAAGGGATTTTAGCGTCGAGAATTACGCTCGAAGACTGCAGATCGAACGGTAAACAGCTTAAGGCTGCAGTGAGGCACAGAAACCTATAAAGTGACTCCGATGCAAGACTCTGGGATCACATACGGGGATCAGGGACAAAAGTGATCCACCCTGTAGCTTAGCTCATTCCTTCCCCGTAAGATTTCGCCGCTCGCGTGCGCTGGTGTGGTGTCTAGATGAACTTCGTGTTTCGCGCGCTGCCTAAGCCTCGTAGGAAGAAACGCGCAGCTGATAGCTGGTTCATCAGGCGCTGCGATTAACCCCATCCGATGCGTTTCTGAGATGTAAATGCTATTTAAAATGATTTTTTACTACTCTATTCAGCTGTCGTAGCTCTTTTCGGAGGAGGGCAGTGGCGTATAGCCGGTGGTTGGCACACCGAAAACGTGCCCCCCCCCCCCCCCCGGCCCGAAATTTGTTATTTTTTGTCTTGGCTTAGCTAACGAAAAATTACCATTTCAAAGGGGTGCAGCCCTGAAGATTTTAGCCTTGCGCCATTATGCTAGTAGCGCACTTTTTTTTTTTGGCTAGGTCATATCTAATGACAAATACGTCGTGTATGCTAGTGCTCTACCAACGAGAAGAGGTCACAATTTTAACATTAAGCTCATTTTTTTTTTCTTTTTGCACGTACTAACAGTTTCAAATACAAGTTTCTTCCTCGGACAACTTTTACTGTAAAGATTTACCTGGTTTTCGTGAAATGAATATATCAGATTTTTAGTCATTTGAGTGACGTTAATGTTTCTTTCTCTCATTCTATATTAGGTTCTTGGAGGTGATGCTATACTCACTTATAACAATACTCAAGTTCCACGAGAATTTCAGTGTTATAACCGATAATTGATGTAAATGGGTTTCATGAAAAAAAGTTAAAAAAAAAGTAGGGGAATGGCAACAGACAGTACGTATTAGTGATAAGGATGAAAATGTTGCCGATTTTTCGGACCTGTTTGAAAATTCGGCCGCTTTCACGAGAGTGCCACCAACTCCATGGAACTAGTGTACGACGTCTGAAGTTTTAGACGCTGAAACTCGTCGAAGTTGTTTCAACTTTCTTCTCAAGTTGTATTTATGAAAGTGCATCAATATAAGCCACTTCACCCAGGGACGGACACAGCCACTCATTTTAGGGGGGGGGGGGGGGGCTTGGTTACGACTTCTTTGTTTTTACGAGCAGAAAAACCTCTTATCATGAATACTGTTAATGTGTGCGCACATGGGTTTCACTTATTTGTCATAATTGGTGATAGGAGGTGGAATACGACTACGAGCACTGAGGTGAAGGGGGGAGGGTGCTGACACACATTTTTTGGGGGGAGGGGGGGGTGATCCCGCGTACCGTTCCACATTCCCCCCCCCCCCCCCCCCCTGTATCTGACACTGACTTCCGCTCCCGCGCCGTAGCAATTTCAAAGGGGAGCTCTGCCGCAATGTTGTTGCGGTCTGTGGTGAAGCATACTGTGAATCCGAAGGGTTGCTGTGGGACGCTGAAGTTCTAAGCGGGGGTTGAACAGTTTGAACTTCTCGTTTTCTCAATTTTTTTGAAGATTTCACGTTTAATTGCACTTTATCCCAACAGCCAGAATTTATAGATAATGCGTCATGCAAGTACATGGTGTAAACGGGTTATTTCACCGCAGAAATTTAAGCATACTAGAAGCCGACGGTGCAGCAGCTCCTCATTGTTATTGCCGACAGATCGCTAAAACCGCTATCGGTATTAGTGGGTTATACCACTCGCGATTCTGATATTCGCGCACCCCCCCATTAAAAAAGTAAGCCTAGCAGAACACAATGCTTCGCAAGAGCGTGGCACTATATCCACACTATCGATTCCACGTACGTTTCATGCAGAAAAAAAAAAAAAAGGGGGGGGGGTATATATTAGTGATGTGAAGACTGAGGGATCAGCGCAGATGGTGACGTTGCCCTCCTTGATTTCCTTCCCTCCACCCCGAGTTCTCTTTGCCACCCTTTTCTATGCTATGCTTTTCCTTTCTCCTTCTCCTCACCTTCTCATCTCTCCTCACTCATTCCATTGCGAAGCCATTCATATACTGTACTCTGCACGGCTGCCCCTTGCTTTACTATACTACGCAAGTCTGCTTATGCATCATACTTTCGCCTTCTTCCGTCTCTTTCCCACACATTCACATATTATACTGTACGTAGATATATGGTGTGACTCACCTTCTCCCCTCCTTGATCCTGTTTCTTACATTTCCTCTCCACCTCTTTGCTATGTTTTATTTTTTTCATTCGCTCTATAACTTTCTTTTTGATTCTCTCTTCGCCTCTATTTTCCTATCTCGTTTTTGTCTTCGTCTTTCTGTGGAAATTTTTGGCTTTCTCTCTTTTTGTCGTTCTTCCATATCCTTCTGTCTGCCTGTTTTTTTTTTTTTTGTTTCCTCTCCTTACTCGTTGTCTCGCCAATCACAGTTGTTGCACCACACGCCGGTCAAATCGGCACGCGTGTTGTGGAAGCGAAACAGAAAATGAAGAGAATCAACCAAGAGAGCACGTGACAGCTCACGATGGTGATAACTTGTGTTCGCACTGCGCGGCACCTGTAAACAATTGCTAAAAGCACGTACGCACACTTCCGTGTCTACAGGAACCACTCTTATCTGGCTATGTTATTGGATGTCGAGTGGTTGCAGGTAAATTAATGAAGGAAAGAAACTTGAAGGCCGAGCTGACAGCGTTTTATTGAAAGGAGGTATTCACTTGACGTCACCCGCAAAGAGGGGGGGGGGGGGGGGGGGGGGGGCAAATGTTCCCACGTGCACTTCCATAGGAATACACGGGGTAGTGGCCTGTGAACTTTCGACCCTCCCTGTATACCGTACAGCTTATACACAAGGAAGCCCTGGACAGCACACAGTAAGAAGTGCCTATGGCACGTGCAACGAAAGGCATATCTGCAACCGCCTTAATTTTAATTATGCGCATTTAATGGTGTGTTTAGACAAGCCACTCAGAGCTTGTCAATTGCACTTTATAATTCTTCAAAAGAATTACAGTAGCTTAATTGAGTTTATTACTACACTTACCTTGTTGCAATGTATTGTAGTCAATTTATCTAGATTAACCCATTATCATTATGAATTCTTTGAATGATGATGTGTGTAATTTTTTTTTGCTCTGGAGTACCATCAAATGTAAAGTCCACAACGGCTATGGATTATATAGTACACAGATATAGTACACAGATACTTCTGCTCCATGCATTCTGATTAGAATGGCCATGAAATAAACTTTCATTTCATAAGATTGCCAAGACGCGGAATCTGTGACCACTATAACTGCTACATCAGAGTTGTAGGTGGATCTAGTCATTTTAGGCTGTGCTTGCTATCGTGCAATGTGCTTTAATGTTTAAGAAGAGAACATAAATGTATATATAGAGAAAGATGCATGCCAAAAGAATGGTCCTCCTTGGGTGGAGCCCTTAGTTCAGGGCCTCATTGGCTTACGCCATATCATGTGCCCGCGGGATCTACAAATGCAAACTTATGTGCGTCTGAAGGAGATAACTTGCAGTTTGTGTGGCCGACACGTTTTTACTGATCTGGACAGTAAAATGGTCTAGGTTTAGTTGGCACCTAAAATAGAGAATCAGCATACTGTGAACCACCCGTATGTACCCTTTAAAAGTGCTTTGCACTGTATGTTTAACAGTGGTTTTCTGGACCAAGCTGGTTCTGCACTGTAACATGCTGGAACCCTTTACTTTGTGAGCACATCAGTATTCAGTAACAAGTGCTACAGGATCACTGCCACTGCAAGCTGCTCAGTCATATTCACTATGCGATTCCATAGTTTAGAACATACTCCAATATGGTCTCCTGGTTTCGGTGCAGTAAGTGTTCGAAACACATTCTCGATCATTATTTTTACCTGACGCACAAAATTTATTAATCATGCTGCTTATTTCCCGAATGCATTGCCTTTGAAACCCTACTCAAAATCTAGGAATTGTGCATGCGTCATCTGTTTGTGTTGTGTGTAGTGATAAAATCTCCAAAGAACATGCTAAAATGAGTAACAAAGGGAGGGTAGAAACAGCTTTATTCGTTCTTGCAATCACACGTTGCGTGCCACAGTTTTGATGGGCACACGTTCGATATTGTTGTTCATTTGATTTGTTCATTACACAAAGTCCTGTTCGATGCTGGCATGGTTGCATCGAAGACTACCTAAAGAATGGTAAAATGGAAAATGAACAGCTGCACGAAGCTACTTTGAGTACAATCACAGCAACTGACAACACACCTTCCAGTCTGTACAAATTACGTGCATGAAGTTTTCGTGCATGGCACCCCATACAAAAGGAAAGGAAACGCTGAACTTATCACTTGCGACTCTGAAATTTCTTTTGTGAATACAATTTTTTGCAGCCTGTGCAAAGTACTATGACCACGCTCGTGTGTTGTTCAGTAGTGCTGTCATCTGGAAGCTGTGCCAGCACATTGAGACAAATTGTACCTACTTTGAAAAGCACTGGAAGCGTTAGTCGCTAACAACTAAGAAGTGAGGCCACAAAAGGGGCGAGGCCTTGAAACAATGCATTCGTAAAAATGAGTCCGTTCCAATAGTTCACATTCACATGAGCTTTAAAATAAAGGTTATAATGTAACTGATGTGTGCGTCTTTATGGTGATAGTCATTTATTAGGACGGTATCTTTTTCAAGAAGCAGAATCGTTACTACTACATGGACTCAGCTAAGCAATGGGCAACAGTGCCGTTATGTCAAATATAAACAAGGATATTAAAATCGAGAGGCCTGTAATGTATACATTGAGATCACCCTGGTAAAACATGTAGCTGCTGTACATCCTTTGTTGGAAAGCAATACAGCTTTGTAAATAATATAGCTTCTGAAATCTCGGTGCGCAGTCGGACACACTCAATTGTGAACAGTTTGAACACTAGGTGAAGGAAGTGCACATGCACAGAAAGTCATATTGCCGGCAAATGTGGGTCTATGCGCGTACAGATCCTTCGAAAGTCTTGTAACATCACAGGAGCAATGTGTTTTCACATGGCTATTCACAGGTAAATTGACACACGTTAAGTCACTGCCACAACATAACATGGGTGTTTTATGTAAGCCTAGTTGCATCCACATTGAAAATGGTCTTGTACGTGCTTGTTCGTGTTTAGAAGTAAATAATGGAGGTTATATACATTTAATATAAATCTACCATTTCATGTACTTGAGAATAATGCTCGAAACAAGAACGTAATCATTCGTTTTTCAATATAAAGGGAGCTTGTAGCATAGCTTGCTCTGCACTGTTGATTGAGCTTCCGATATGTAGGTCGTTAACTAGATGTGCATGGAATGCTTCGAAACCCTTTTTACAAAAGGTAGTGATGTTGTTTTTCATCAGTACTTAGTGATCTTGTTGTGCGTTTGATGCAGTCAGGAATGTCAGTTGACGGAAAGTCTTTAACAGGTCGAGCTTTCTGATGCACCGCAGACAGTGCTCTTGCTCGAAAATGTGCGACTGAAGAATATATGTGAACCTGATGTACAAGGACACCTTACGCGAGTGCATAGCATTCGCAAAGAAAAAGTACATACACGTAAAAGAAAGGCATCGTATACATATAAAAGAAATAGAGCGATGACGTCACAACACGGTCCAAAAATAGTTGTTCACACTGGTCCCACTGGCGATGCAAAAGATCCAGGCTAGAAAGAACAGGAAGGTCGTTTTGTTTTTAGATGCTCAACGGTATGATGAACAGTCTTTGCAGTTTCAGCATGGTGTGGCATTGCTCCTAGGAAAGGGCTACCTTACAGGCCTGTGGAATTTCAATTGGTTGCGTCGTCGGGGTGTCCTGCATTCAGAAAAAAAAAACGGTGCCATGGTTTTGCTGTTTTTATTCTCGTGCTACTGTAGTAATTTTTGTAAAGAAACAAACTTTTTAGAGTACTTGTCCAAAGCTAGATTACTTCTCACAGCTGCACAAGCTGCTTTCTATATCATTTACAACATGGTTCTGAGAAGGACCCATGTTGCTCATCGACATATTTCACACTGAAAATTAAAATAGCCGCACTGAGCAAGTGATGCGAAACCCACAGAAAGTGAAATACTTGGCATGTAACAGTTGGGTGTTTCTTTAGTTTTATTGAAATATCTAGCTATATTAGCGGCGGTTATGTCAAGCAAATGTTGCCATCATATTTCGCATGAAGTCCGCCGCGACTGGATGCTGTCAAGCCCCGCATTCACAACGCTAGGGGATGATAGAAAGGCATGCCTTGCTGTCTTTCTGTACATTTGGCAACACAGGCGAATGAGATTGGTTTGACTGGTATCGAAGAGAATCTGCCATTAGCATGAAGCGAGAAGATTATCGCACGTGCTCTGAACGGGGGTTGATTTAGAGGCATGGTGGTGAATTCTGGTGAAGCTTGTGCCTGCTCATGTCAGCTTGGGCAGGGAGCGGCGATATTGTTGCTCCACGCGGAGACGGTTGTTAAAAGCAGCAGGCGCCTTGCAAGTAATAAGTAGTGATTATTCAGGCTGAATTATCTGAGATGGCTGGCTGGGCTCATTTGCTTTGTCTCTGTGCCCCTAATGTTGCAGCTCCAGTTATCGCAGACGCAAAAGGTTATGTTATGTATTTGCTCACTCTTGTTCATGCTGTTCTTTGTGTTTGTCTTCACCACTGCATGCACAATATCAAATTGTCAATATCATTAACTTGATTAGTTTATGTTTAATACAATATGTAGGTTCGATGAATTATGAATGTTACTTTTATTAGCTATAGGTGAACATTGCACTGCACTACAATGCAGTGCACACTCTGTCAGTACTTGTCCTTCTGGGTAAAACTGTTTCTGTACGCAGTACGGTACTTCGTTGACAGATCAACTTCAATTCATTGAAACAGGATATTAAGTTCATAGATATCTAAAAACTATATTGGAATTGTATTTAGTTCACTGCACACATTACTTCACCGCTTGCATTTCATTTTTGTAAGATTATATGCATGTTATACAACACTATACAGTAGACTCCTATTGAACAATACTCTCTTAAATGAAATTGCTGCTTAAATGGAACTGCCACTAATATGTTTGGTTTCGTACCTGTATTTTATGCACCTGTTTATCTCTCAGTAAATGAAACTCCTCTTAAAGGAAATACATTTTTCTGGTCCCTTCAGGTTTCATCATTAAAAAGGAGTCCACTGTATCTAGTTTAAGCTGCAAACAGTGCTTTGAAACTTTTTGCCTTTATAGCCCTCGATACAATGAACACTATCACTCTCTCTCCTGTGCCCTTTTAAGATGTGCAACGACAAAAGAAAGATTTGCAGAGTGAGAGTGATGATATCAGGTGTGGCCAAGCAATCAGTGGCGACAAATATAGTACGGAATTGTACAAGGCTTCAGCATCGTTCAATGAATGCAGATGGGCCTTAAAATAAACGCTTATGATCCCTTTAGGCTACTATAAGGAGGGTGCAAGCAAGACCAGTGCCCTCACAAGGCAATCATTCAATTGCCTCAGCAGTCTCAGTTTATCTTTGTGAAAATCAGCGCGAAAAGGACGGAGCACAAGGTGACAATGACACAGTACGAGCACTGTAACAACTCAAGTTTATTGAAATGAAAATCGAACGAGACTAAAACAAACACCGTGTGTGCGCAGAAATTTTAGGTGACATTAGGGGAATGGTTAAGCATGCTTAACTCGCAATCTAGCAAACAGATGGTTCAGATATGTGGTCATAGCCCTTCAGCTTGACAAAGAATGCTTTTATGAGTTGACAAGCCCTTTTGTCCTTGTGCTTCAGCATAATGTCTGTGTTATTGAAGAAAGGTTTTCACCTGCATTGTCTGCAACGGGCTGAAAGATGTGACTTCGGTGTTCCTTTCAAAGTATTGTGCTGGTGATAGTCTATGGATATTGCATTTACCTGACTGGCTGATAGTCTATTGTTAATACATTTACCTGACAGGCCAACGTACACCTTTCCACAGGAAAGGGAAATCTTAACAACACCAACGGAGCAGGAAACATTGAGATTGAGATGCTCCACCAAGCAGCCTAGACCTGCTGTTCCTCTAGCCAACGTCTCCTTTATTTCTGTCAATGATAGTGTGAACGCCCTTCTCCCAATGGGAGCCGTCGGTTTGCTTTAGTTCAGGGAGTGGTCCTGATGCGATGCTACACGATGGGCAGCGCTGTTTCGGTCGCACGTGCTTCCAAGCGCTTTCCCCCAGAGATGTGATAGATGTGTTCCCACTTTAAAATTATACGTATGTCAGATTTGTCCCTTCGTGCTCCTTCTCTGTGGTTCGAAGCAATGCTGCGGCCACATCTCAGTACGCCGCGTGCAGTAGCGTTGAAATGACGCTTTCCCATTGGTTGCCTGCATAGTGGCACGAATGGGGACACGCTATCTAAAAACATCGTATCTTTTACAGAGTCAGCGTCACTGTGGTTATTGCGTACGTGAGGAATGCAAGACGCCGCCCCACGGATCTGTACTCAACTGAACAAAAAATTCCTTCATATGATTTCCGTCAAGAGGCACTGCATGAGGGGTTTGCTTCCCCATGATCGTAAAGCACACAAGAAGGCTAGGTGGTGGATGAGGGCAGGAAAGGGTTAGAGGAGAGGGTAGTGAATGGCTAAAACGGATGCATTTGGCTAGCATTGATAAAATAGAGGAGGTGTTGCTTTAGTGTTATTCCTTCTGCATTAGCTTTTCAGAGTTATATTCCAATAACACCGTCATTATGCTGAAGCACAAACACAAAACTCGTGAGCTCATAGAAGTGTTCTTGATCAAACTGAAGGGTGATGAGTGTGTATCTTGACTGTTTGTTTGCTAGATTGCGAAGTACACACATCTGACTATTTCTTTGACATCACAAAACTTTCTGCGTACGCATGGTGTTCGTTTCCGTTGTGCTCGCTTTTTATTTCAATAAACTTCATTTGTTAAACAGTGTTTCTACTGTGTCCTTCTCGTCTGATGCTCGTTCTTTTGCGCTGATTCTGACAAAGATGCTTTTTTTCCGAATTGCCCTCCTCCACATTTCTTAGTTGATTGTATTGTTACCTCTCCACCCACCCAGAGCTTTTTATTGGCCTACCTTAGAACAGGAAATAATTTTGTGTGATGGTGTTATAATGGGAGGACAAATTTTCCTGATTTATAAGGTCATTGTGATGTCACAGCACGCTATCATGGGACATTTTATTCCTGACATTTAGTGTGATTCATGTTGACGACAACTATGCCAGATTTTTTCAACTCGTAGGATATAATTTGGCTTTGGCTTCAGAACTTAATTATTGTAAGCAAGCAGTTGTGATTCGTTACAACCGGAAATATTCTTTTGTAAACACTATATCACTACATATCAACCGTGCATCACTGTACTTCGATCGCCATTATGATTTTGTGATAAATATGATAAACTGCGACCGGCCAGCTGACTTGTAGATGTCATAACAGTTCCTACTTTAATTTCCGTGTAGTAACAGGACTGCTTTTTGTATGAACCTTGTGTACATACCCCTGTGCACAGTGTGTTGACCATGCTTCTGTACTCCTCGCACAGCGTCCTCTTGAAGCTGGTGAATGCGTCATACATCTTGTCCTTCTGTGGTGAGAGAAATATCGAGACAACATTGATCACATATCTGGAAACCTAAACGAAGGACTAAAAAAAGTCTTTGTAGAAAAATGTGGAAAATCAGCTCTTCACGTTTTACAGGATTATGCAACATTACGGTAAACTATAATAATTCGGGTTCACCTTACTATTGTTGCAGCATGCTTTACAAATAAATTGAGAGCATGAACACCTCTCTCATCGCTCTTTGGACTTTACAGCAGTAGTTTTCTTTTATTGAAAAAATTCCCAACAGGTAGCGCACTTGATTTGAGAAGGTATAAACAAGCTTGTGAACCACGCCATCTCGGTAACATCAAGCGTCGCAGAAACAGTAGGTGTAATATATGCATAAAAGCAATATTTTCCTCATTAGTATTTGAAAAACCAGAGATATTGTTGCTTTCATCTTGTGTATAGGTAGCGTTTCAAAGGCGTGCATTGACACGCATTTAAAGAAATATGCTGTAATTGCTCCCACCCCCTCTTTTGTACCTGCACCTTTACCCCCCTCATTTTCAAATCTGCAGATTTTGGCATTATTGGGTCTCCCCGATAGCCATGTATGATTTAATCTTGTCTTTGTTTCATTATGGAAAATAGTGGCTCAAGCCTGCTAAAGTAAGAAAAATACAACAGCAACGTGCTGGTCACAGTGCCACTACATATAATTCTTTGTTATTTGACATTCAAACCAGCCTGATCGATGTGCACCACACATAAATGGCTTTTTATGCTTAGTAGATGTACCAATACCTTTGATATGGCTAGTTTTCTCAAGGTTTTGATGTCTGCACTGAATTGTCCCTCATAATTTTGGCAATTGCAGTGCACAGACAGTAGGGCATTTCGTTCACGGCATGCTCTTTTTATGTGGGCTCCTTTATGAAGTGGTTTCTTGGCACATAAAAATCGCAGAAGTGTGTTTTAGGCCTTATCATCTGAAAGTTGAGTATTTCGTTGGCACCAGTGCCATGGGCTATTTACAGGAAGTGCATGTAGCGGCGCTGGCGTGATGCTATTGCAGGCTGTAGAAAGCATGTAGTGAAAAAATGCAGGGTATAAAGGTTGTGAGGAGTAGCGCACCAGTGTTTTGTCGCAACCGGTGAAGTTAGAAAAACCTGCTTGCGAGTTTACGTGACACTGAATTGCTCCTAATGCTTCCTTTTTCTGGGGACTGTCCTTTTTGTATGCAAAGGCATAACTTAGTGTAATATTCCTTTTTGAATCCCCAGCTCGCAATCTGCGAACACTGAGGAGCGAACGTTGGGGTGCTGGTCCAGTGTATTTACTCGCTTGCTACTAGCACTCTTCAGCACTCGGTAAGGCTGTCATTGCTGGCTCGTGTTAGGTGAACGGTTGGTAGTTTTACCAAGTATTGGGTTCTTCTGCATACTGTCTGAAATTCTTGTATGTTCAACGTATATTAATAGATAGAAACTGAACAATAATGCCCAGTGTTGCCACATGTTGTTCAAGTGAAGAGTAGGTTTCGCTAAAAAGAGTTTGTCAACTTATGCAGGTCATTTACTGTTATTACATTAGCAGTCTTCATTTAGTTTCATTGCGATGGTGCTCCCGCATATATAGCTAACAGCCTTCCTTAGTTGGGTCCTGCCTGAATTTCTTTTTGCATATTTAGGCTGCGTCGTAATACTTGCTACGATATTTACCACTACACGAGGTTAGCAATCATTGCCGAGGCATTTTAAGTGCAGCATGTGTCAAATCAGGTTTGACACTCGAAGGCAATGCTAGTATGAAATAAAGTATTGTGAGAGGTATTTCATTTTGTAAGGTACTTAATACTCCTCTTACATGTAATAATGATGTGTTAGACTTTTTGCAGCTTAATAAACACTTGTCGACATCTTTTAACGAGGATCAGTACTGTCCACAAACAGTTATGTCTATACTGTAAGTGAATAAAAATAGTATTACCTTTGTATTGAGAACAATCTGTCACTTAATTCATTGTGAGTGTAAGAAATAGTTTAGTAAGGACACCTTACTGCATATTAAGTTACCAAAAAATGTTTCCAATATTTCATTCGCAATTATGAAAAGTGGTTCTGGTTGTGCTCACAGCAAGGCAATAAATCTAAGCTACAAATATCATCAGGTATGCCTTCAGGCTCAACTTCAGCTTTTGAAAAGTAATCTTCACGTTGATTCCCTCGTGCAGAAACATTGCTTCGGAATCTATGTATCTTTATTGCATGTTATCCTTCGGTAATGCATATTACACTCACCTAGATGCCCTTCAATGCTTTAAAGATTAAGCTGTTTAACTTATGGCTTCTGGTCACATTGTGAAAGCACTGTAAATCAGTACACCAACACTTGAACAGTTCCTAACAGAGCTGTTCAAACAGAAGGCCAAACTAACTTATCTACAAACTTAATTATTGTAAAACGTTTTTCCCGACTTCGCCAAACGATATCGTTAAAAGGTACTTGCATTACGAAATTTTCTGTAAGCAAAAATTCACCTCTTCCTCGCACACATACAGATTATCTAAAATTAGTTGCTCACTTTTCCATTTAACTTCTGCATTTATTCTTTACAAAATTCAATCATCGGTACAAATATTTCTAGCCATCAACGAGAAATATGCTGTTGATAATCTAAGTGAGAAGTTGCACTAGTTTGCAGTTCTGATTTCATTCCTTCATTTAATGTTCTTTGTTGCTTCAATGTTTTTTCTTTGTATATTTAGAAATAATTTCTCATTAGTATCTTTACTATACTCAAACTTCAACATAAAGAACACGGATATAGCAAAATATCAGTTATAATGAAATAAATGAAAAATAGTGAAACGAAGATGCGCGAGCCTACGGGACGCGGAAGAAGAAGAAGAGTAGTGGAGCTGCCCATGGACTACACGATTCTTGTATGACGCCCTTCTTTAGCATGTCTTCCACTTGCTCAGCGATGACTTTCCTTTCGGAAGGCGAGACACGATAGGGCTTCTGGCGTATTGGTGGTGCTTGGCCTGTATAGATGCGGTGTTGCGTACGTGAAGACGGTGGCGTAACGGTAGACGTCTCGTCTTGGGCAAAGTCAAAGACTGAGGCGTAGCGTGTGATCACCTCCTGCAGCAGCGACCGTTCAGTCGATGGAAGTGACTTGTTAATCATACGGTCAATGCTGGCAGAATAGTCGCGGTACGAGTTGGCGTGGGGTTTCTTTACATCCACCGACAGTTGGAGTGACCGTATGGTAAGAGTACTTTGCTCTTGAAAGCTTGCCAATTTAAGTCCTGCAGGCAGATATATGGGCTGCGCGGAAACGTTCACAGTCCACAAATCGGCACAACCATCGACGATGAGCACGAGGCAACGAGGCACGATAACGTTTTTCTTAAGGGCGTTACTGAAGTTCGGCTCGGCTAAACCATAGTAAGAACCCGCACAAGAACGCGAAGAGTTTACACGCACAAACATTGCGGTATGTGGGGCCAAGCAGACGTCTTCAGACACGGAAAACACTTCCAAGCAGTCATCAATGGTATCTTTTGTCAATGGAGGCGGCAACACGGGACGAAAAATAATCCCACCACTACCACAATCTAGAGTTGCACCACATTCCCGCAAAAAATCTATACCAAGAATGACGTCATGGGTCGCTCGTGCAAGCACCGTTAGTTCCGCTCGAAACGTTTGATTTCCTATAGAAAGTAAAACGGAACAAACTCCAACCGGGCTCAACGTTTCTCCCCCTACGCCGCGGAACGTAGCACTCTGATTCCAAGCAAACATTACTTTCGTCCCTAGGCGATTTTTAAAAGACATGCTCATTATGGAAACGGCAGCACCGGTATCAACTAGTGCAACAGTACTCACATTGTCTACAAAAACACTCACTTTGTTCTCAACCATTACAACACAAGGGGGTCTTGCGGAAGATGATTTTGCGGCCTCGCCCCCATTGGTCGCACCAGTTAGTTTCCCAGTGGTGGTGGCGTCCCCGAGCGGCGACGCGGAGACGGGGATCGCTGTTGGCGTGCGGGTGGTGGGGTAACGCTGCGGTCGGAGCAAGGCGAGTCAGCACGTGCTGCGTGTTGCTGTTGGAAAGAGCCCTGAAATGGTCGAGACTCGCCAGCAGGTACATAGGGCGTGTACACGTTGAATCGTGGAGCTCGCTGCTGGCGACGGTAGCAGTACCTAGCGATGTGTCCAGGTAGCCCGCAGTTGTAGCAAGTACGGGTGTCGCGTCTAGTCGTCCCCGGTGAAGTAAACCTCGTCGGTTGATAAAAGCCGGGCGATGGTGGTCGAGGAGTGAATCGCTGTGACGCAGCTTGCCTGCGTTCCTGGTTTCCGAGTGGTCGTTCACTCCTCCGTTCGAACCGATCGGTGTAATTCGGGCGAGGCTCAAAGTAGCTCTGTCGCATCCGAGGTACCAGTGGTTCACGGGGCCGTTGGTCGAATGCACACTGATGGCAGACACTAGCGGTGTCCACAGCTTGCAGTTGAGCAAGTTCTTCCTTGACCACTCGTCTTATAAGAGAAGAGATCTCGTCCTGCGATGAAAGGTTGACACTTGCAATTGTGGGCACGTTGTCAAGACGTCCAAATTTTGGTAGGACTCTCCTCCTCTTTAGGGTTTCAAACGCTCGGCAGTGTCTCCTTAGGTCAGAAGGTGTGTGTAAGTCTTCCTTAGTGATAAGGAAATTGTACACGTCTTCTGCGATTCCCTTGAGGAGATGACCTACCTTATCTTCGTCACACATGGTCGCACTCACGATTCCGCAAAGCTTCAAGACGGCCTCGATGTAGGTGGTGCATGTTTCGCCAGGTAACTGAGCTCTGCGTGAAAGCGTTTGCTCCGCCTGCTTGACCTTAGCTGTTGAGTCACCAAAACATCTCTTCAGCTCGTCCACGAAAATGTCCCATGTGGTCAATGCACTCTCATGGTTGTCGAACCAAAGAGACGCGGTGCCAACGAGAAAAAACACCACGTTCTCGAGCTGCTTAGCAGTGCTCCAGCGGTTGCTGCGACTCACTCTTTGGTAGTGCTTGAGCCAGTCGTCAACATCGTCGTCCGGCTGCCCCGAAAAGGTCCTCGGCTGACGTTCCGGCATGCCGCAGCGATCTTGTCCTGGCGGGTGAGCGTGTTGCTCATCAGCAACGAGGTTGTTATGACGTGCTCCCGCGTCCTCCATGTCTGGTAGCTGTGGTGGCAAGCCTGCCAAGCGTCGGCTCCGTCGCAAAATCGGTAGAACTGGGTCGTCCAGATCGATGTACCCGGCACCTTCCACCAAACTGTTGCGAGTGACTGTGTTTATTTACAGATGAGGTGAAAAGACGTTGTGAAATAGCAGCGTACTTCTGGGACAGGCCAAGAACGCTTCCACCCAACCACACAGTCCAGGCGCAACCACACAGTCCAGGCGCAGCTCCACTACTCTTCTTCTTCTTCCGCGTCCCGTAGGCTCGCGCATCTTCGTTTCACTATTTTTCATTTATTTCATTATAACTGATATTTTGCTATATCCGTGTTCTTTATGTTGAAGTTTGAGTATAGTAAAGATAATAATGAGAAATTATTTCTAAATATACAAAGAAAAAACATTGAAGCAACAAAGAACATTAAATGAAGGAATGAAATCAGAACTGCAAACTAGTGCAACTTCTCACTTAGATTATCAACAGCATATTTCTCGTTGATGGCTAGAAATATTTGTACCGATGATTGAATTTTGTAAAGAATAAATGCAGTGACGTGCATTTCGTTTCAGTGACGTGAATTACGTTGTCGCCCGAGTCACAGCCAATAACCGGCGTTCGCGCACTACGCAAGTTGTTCACGTAGCCCGCCTCAAACAGTACCATCATAGGCCTATTTAACTCGCTCGGCGAGCTTCGTCTGCCGCCGGGGGAAATGAAACGAAGATGCGCGAGCCTACGGGACGCGGAAGAAGAAGAAGAGTAGTGGAGCTGCGCCTGGACTGTGTGGTTGCGCCTGGACTGTGTGGTTGGGTGGAAGCGTTCTTGGCCTGTCCCAGAAGTACGCTGCTATTTCACAACGTCTTTTTACCTCATCTGTAAATAAACACAGTCACTCGCAACAATAGTCTTGCAGCATTTACAGTGTTAGAAATAACTTTTACAACAAATTTTTGGATATAACGAACATATTTTCTTGTAAGATGCAATTTCATTACAATGAGGTTGCAGTTTAGATCATTAAAAAATTATGGAAGTATTAAATATACTTTTGCTTTATAGCTAGACTGTTTTTTATAGCTCATTCTTTGGTTTTATAGCTGCTTTTCTTTTCCGTATTTTCATGGTCTGCCTGTTGTGATTTTATCAGTTGAAAATATTTTTCAACTTCTACTAACTAATGTGTACTGTAATGTATATTTGTATCGTCTTCATGTTACATAGATTGGCTTTTGTTCTAATTTTTCTGCAGTCCGGAATTTCTCCCACCAATTTTTTTTAATTGTACCTTCATTGCACAATTTAGCACTTATATGCATATTGTTTAGCGCAATGCACCCATGAAAATTTCGCAACTTCATGATCTTCAAATATAACAAACTTCATCATAATAATCATGTTAGCATGTTTGCAACAAAAAGGTCAATTGAATTTTACACTCTAAGTAATAAGAAATGAGAGACATACTGGCGTACCTTTTACAAAATATTGCTTGTGTGTGTGTGTTTGTGTGAATACAGAAAGACATTGTAGTGAGAGTAAGCTTTAATAGTAAATATATACATGTAAATGCTGCAAACCCCGAGATTGACTGCTGAAATTATTCTTTCAGTGATGAAATTGAGTGTCCTTCTGTTTCCATACAGAAGCATATTCGTTTCCTTTGTTCCCATTCTCGATTCCTTTTTAATTTAGTGTAGATATAGATTGGCAAGTGATTGAAATGTGAATGAGTAAGCAAATCAATAATATCCTACATATTCATATCAAATGGCAGCGTACATATCTGAAGTTGTGCTCGATCATTTTTTTTTATTGATTAAAAAAAAGCGAACAAACTACAGCAATTGGAATCATTTTTATCGAAATTTTTGGACATCAATTTTCGTTGGTACGAATTAGTTTATGTGCATAAGCAAAACTTGAAAACATTTAACACGCTATGAAACCACTGTATGCATGCTCCCCCTCCAAAAAAAATTAGTGTAATGGCAGTTTGGACAACATAAGCGACACTGCACAAAAAGCAGATATGTAGAAGCCACTTGCATCTAAATATGTGCATGCACACACACACTCATGCCGGCACACACATATGTGCATACCTACGATTTGTCCTACAACGAACATGGGGAATTTAGTTTTTATTTCATACACCTTACTCTTCTCTTTACCGTATCTCGTTTCACTTTTAACCTGTTAATATTTGTAAAGAGCTCTTTTTTTTGCCTAATGCGTTGGAAAGAATATTATTTCTTTATTAAAATAAAATAACTTGCTGTGATATGTAGTACATATATATATTCAGCTAAGCTATAGTTTTCTGCTTATAAAAGTCAAGTTAGTAAAGACGTAAAGGTAGGCCACACTAAGCCTATGATAAACTTACCTCTGGATGCTGTAAAGCAAACATTTTTTTCACATTATTTTCGGCTGAATCATCGTGCCGTTCAAAAATTACGACACTTCTTACACTGAACTTGAACACTTCTCTGTGCAATGGAATAACTCATAGATTTTGTGTTGCTGTCAATGGGTTGTTTTAACTTACTCAAGCTGGCTGTAGCTGCAGATGAAGTGTGAGGCTAATCACGCCATATTGTTGGCAGTGCCCCCTTTTGCTGGGTGTGCCTATTTTGGTCCCCATTTTTTCCTGTGCCCAACTACGTTCAATTAAATGTACTGGCAAGCCCAGGTCTCCACCCTTGCTAATACTGTTACTGCTTACTGTGACTACAAAAAAAAAGTTTCTGAAAAACGAATCACCTCTTGACAAAGCATCACCGAACGTCCTTATCAGCATTGATATTGTGAACCAGCACCCATGTGGGAATTCTATCAACGAATATCTGTATATGCGAACGACTCCTCACACGTCCTGTGTGCCTCATCACAGAGCCATTGCGATGTAATGCCCTGGTAAGACGCGTATTAATCAAAAGAACACAAAACTTGCCCAAATTGACTGCATAAATCAAGAGATGCTTTTTCCAAGGGGTAGCACAAAAAAATAAAAAAAGAGGAGAAGGAACTCTAAGTGGAAAATATGTTCCACACTTTAGGAACTTTTATAAGACATCAAACCAACAAGCCTAACAAATTGCTGTTCAAGAAAGATACCACTTCACAAGAACAGCTGGGTCTGTTTCTGAATATTCATAGTATTGAAACATTTAGGTGGGATGTGGGAAGGATGGTTCAGATTAAACAAAATTAGGAGCAAGTGAGCTGAGAATAAAAAAATTAATTTTGAAAGTCATAAGTTTTGAGCATCTTTTGCCACCTGTGCTTGTAAAAGTTCTGTGTTCTTTTGAAAGATGCATACTTTCGTGTACATTGTGTCAAATGCACAGTGAGACATGACCGGCAAGCAATGTACCAGTTTACTTCGGGAAACTTGGTACAATAAGGCTGCTCATGAAAACAATATACAGAATTCTTCAGGTTATAACACAGTGTGAAGAAAGAGATGCAAGACGAGATGAAACGAGATGAGTGGCAGCCAACCCAAACCACATTCCTGATAGCAAATGCTGTTCTCTCGGGTATAAGAGGCAAACGGATCCAACATCGTGTGTGGGGCTTTGCACAGTTTATATTAAATTGTGCTCATACGGTTTAAAACAGTTTCTTTGACATGTGAAGAGACTGGTATACTTACTCCGTTCATGCGAATCCAGGGAACAAAGTCGAGCCGGCCCTTGCTGTTGACGCTCTCAGTCCACTCGGCGAATCTCAGCTGGAGGTCGTTGCCCTCTTTGCCGCTGATGCACTTCTGCAGAGCCGTGAGGTCGAAACCCTGCTTCTTGGCGCACTGCGCATGTCGGTAACAATGAAAAGACACTGCAATTACGAAGAAAAAAAAGCAGTAGTTCACAAAAGCTTGTTTGTTATTGTATCATTCAGCTGAATCAGCACAGTGAAAAAAGATTTCTTTACCACTGGCGTCTATACCGCTTGCTGTGGCGAGACTTGGAGGCCATGGCGTAGCTCTACTAAGCACGAGAACAGGGCCTCTATCGTCCAGCCACGGCTGCTTCGCGTCGATGGTGTCGAAAACACTTGTTCAAAATCTTGGTGCACACCAGGCAGTCCAAATAAAGTTAGAGTATTCCACTGTTTGGGGCTTCATTTGTAATGAGATACTTGTATTAGTTTAGTAAGTAAAATCAAAGGATGTAATTCTACTTTTAATGCCTTGTTTTATTGTTGTTGCAAATTGCAATGCATATTTGACGCATGTAAAGTGCTGCTGCCCCCCAAAAATTTGCATTGGTTTGTACCACCTATCGCCTAGTCATTCATACCAAACATAATTTCTCGACCCGTCATCAGATCACCTCATCGTCAGCACCTCACATCAGAGTACAATGAGCTGTTGTCCTGTCATCGTGACACTATTGGTTTGTGTTGTCACTAAAAGTGGCTTATGCGAGACAACAAGCCTGTCTCATCATAACAGTGCTACAGGCTTGTAAAGAAAAGTATCTGCTGAGTTCGGTCTTCATATTCGGTTATCGCTATGACACGAGGAACTTCTCACTTGAAGCTTTCCAACATTCAGTGTGCCGTTCTCGCACTTTGAAGCCAGCATGGTGTATAGTGCTGAATTCTCTTGGTAGACAAATCGGCAGCTAGCATCAATGTCTACTGCATGACGCCTGAATGAAGCTGAAACAGGAGGTTCAGCTTCAATGTTTCTAAGAATTGCTCTATGCTTATCACGACAACAAGGGTGATAGAAGTGTAGTAGGGAAGAGGAAAAATATATGACCACACAACAGGGTGCATAAAGAAAAGTAGTGACCCGTAACTGACTGAGCCAGTTGCAATCGAGGAGATACCTAGGAAAAAAGAATGCTAATAATAAAATTAGAATAAGACATACAAAAAGAAGGCCATTGATGGCCAAAAAGATTTACTCACCGATTCATAAGCCCGGTTTGGATTTCTGGACGAAAACATGCATACGACGAGGGGCAAGTGTTGACTTGGCTCTGGGTAGTACTTGATTACACATGTCTGCAAGATGAAATACGAGAGCAATGTAATGAAAAGCAATTATGAGTGACTTTGCTATGTTGCATGCATTATTACTTTTTGAGTGTTGTAATGTTCTTGGTGCACATGCACGGTGTAGTGCTGGGTGTTAGTAGGCGAGACGACACTGGATATTGGTGCTTACCTGCAGCAGATTACCGTAGCATTCTTTGTCTCCGTGCTGGCAGTCGAAAGTGTACCACTTGTTTGGCAGTTCTCTCCTCTGGAAGCATGGAAAGTGAGATAACAAAATTGGAGATAATGGCTTAGCCTTATGTTGGAAACCTCTTGAGCTTCAGTTATATTACTCCCAAGTTCTGCTAAGACACAAAAAAAAAGTGAAAATTAAAATTGTAATGAATATTCAGTGGCAAGTTGCATACTTACCCAAAGTGGTAATACAAGTGATAAATGCTTACCAACTGTATTTGTTCAAAGAAAAAATAGGAACCGAGAAAAGAACATTCAACACCCTTGCAAGTACAAGTCGGCTATAGATAAAATACAGCAGCAGTTGAACTACCAAATTATGACTTTATACTATCCCTGAGCATTTTTGCATGAAGAAAGAGAAGAATAAATTGGCACCTAGGACTTCCCATCTCTTTGAATTTTCGTAGCTAAGCTACTCGGCTGCTGACCCACAAGTGGCGGGATGAAATTCTGGCTGCAGCGGCAGCATTTTCGATAAAGGTGAAAATTCTGTAGGCCTGTTAACTCATATTTTGGTGCACAATAAAGAACACGTTAAAGATGGGCGAAATTTTTGGGGCCTTTCACTACGGCATCTCACATACTCTAATGGTGGTTTTGGGACGTTAAACCCAGTGTATCAATCAATCTTTGAATTGTAGAACGAAAATTGATTTGATGGTTTCAATCAATACATCATCAATTCATTTCAACCCATGAATTGATTTCCTGTTTCCCTTCACATCATTTTTGAAGACCGACTCTAATTGTGCAGACCTGGCAACGGCATTGCTTGGCCAGGGATGTTCAGTATTTCGGCAGCTGTCGCCACTGTAAGCAGCCGTGGCTTATAGAGAGGAAAGCGTGCGACTGTGGGCTGTGCACTTACAGATGCCTTTCCGTATGGGACGAGCTGAAGCTGCATGATGTTCGGGAGCTCGGCAAACGTGGAGTTGAGCTGCTCAAGGACGAAGTTCCTGCTGTCCGGACAGTAGGTCTCGTAGAAGACCTCCACGGAAACCTTTGGATCGTGCTCGCATGCCTACAAGCAGGAATCAGATGGTAAGAATGAGCGACATGGGTGAGGACATTCTTTTTGCAGCTGCTTATTAAGCCGACTATTAAGTCGACGTTGATTGTTGAAATGGCGGTCCAGAAACCTCGTAGTGTTACTTTCGTGCCAAGGAAGGGGCAATTTAGAAATAAAATCATGTTTTAGTGCTCCGCATAGCGTTAGCGCACTTCAAATTACCCGTCTCAAGAAGCTCAAGAAGCGGACCAACCAGATTGTCCCACGTCACTGTTGCCGTGCACAGCGTTGCCCGGCTTTACGTCGCTAGTAGCAGCAGACCGAAAGCAGCGGGAGTCACAGCAGCAACAACGGCCATTGATCAATTTCCCGCCATTGGTTTCGAGATTGCAGACGCTCTTGTTTCAACTGCGCCCCGCTAGATGGCACCACCTGTCCCGTTTAACCACGCGAAAATTGAATTTTTGGACCACTCGTGCCATTCCCCATAGTAACGTCCAGCGGTTCTTTTTTCCATTAATCAAACAGAAACGAACGGGCAGCATTTCATTGCGTCTCTTAATGCGCTGAAGGTTTTTTATTTAGTGCAGTTAGAACGATTACTAGTGATTAATTGTAGGCGGTCCGTTTGATGTCATCGGGATCATTTTGAAAATGTCCTACTGTGGCGCTTGTGTTCTTGTGCATTTACCTTAATTTCTCGGTAAGTAAAGCACTGTTGTTGATAATATTGTTTTAGATGTCATACATGGAGTTTTCACTCTGACGTAAATTGTTACTTGACTTTAGTGTCCCTTTAAATTCTGCTTCATGTTACTTTGTAGTCATGGGTTTGTCATGGGTACAAAAACTGGCATGTCTATTATTTTGATGGCAATTTTATGGACTCTCTCGGCGGCTTTCGCCGTCGTCGTTGGCGCCGCCATGCCGTTCTGTCTATCTATAAAAAACATAATGTTCCGAAACGCACGACCGGGGATTCGAACCTTTCGACACCTTGCGTTAAACAACTCTTCTACAACGCATAGATCCTCCGTACTAGCGACGAGCTGTTATATACACCATTTACCATTAATGGTACGCGCACATCTCAGGTGCTTCAGTGTGGCAAAGGGTGTCCACTATCACCCGCCCGGTGGCGCGAAGGGCCAATGGGTTGCCAGACGCCCGCTCGTCTTTCGCCGAAGTGGGGCTGCGCGCCTCCGGCGCCGTATTTTGACCTGCAGGACGTGGCTGCTTGGGCGCTTATCTCTTAAGGTGGGCTCAACAGATGGCGCATAGCTTTCTACGTGTTGTGATTTCGTCGCAATGTTAGCGTTAATGCCATAGGCCGCGCGGAGGTCACTTCGCTTGTTGCAGCGGCGGCCGTGTTTGCTTGAAGGAGTAAGCTGCTAGCCTTCATATAACAATTGAGTTTGTCGCTGTCGCATTCTTTGCTGCGTCCTTGCGGCAAAGTTGACATTTTTTTATGTTAAAACTGCTGCTTGGGCGAGTTGGTTAAACGTTGCCGTAAATGGAGGAGTGCGCCTGCTGGATCGTGCTTGGTTGGACGCATGGATTGACGCACGGACGGACGGACGGACGCTTCGCCCCACTCATCGTCATCATTATTCACTCCGTGAATATGCTGCGATTTTTTTTTCATGGCACGCATATAAACCACAAAGATAGCGTGACGCAAAGAAGCGATGAAAAACTTGAGTGTGCGTGCTTCTTCCTAAGTGTTTCGTCTTTTTGCGCTGGTAACTTCTACCTTTTTCTGTTAGGCGCATATTGTATCAGTGGCAGCACCGGCTACGACACGGCGAATGATTCTAGATGCAAGTCACGAACGAAAACTATGCATGTGTGCTTGCATGGGTGGTACGAAAACGCTTTTGCACCTGTGCAGCGTCCGCTAACTTGTGGTTGGCTATTTCAAAATATTTTATGCGTGCTCCGAATGACACTTATCTAGAAGTTTCGTCGAGAGGCAGGTCACGCAGGTTGCGGCTGCTATAGCTCTAGGAGCGACAGAGTTTTTGGCTTTCTAATATGTAATATGGACCTAGCATGAGGTGTGGCCGTGCGTGGTATTGAAGCGTTAACCTGCGCACCTGTGCATGTTTTAAGATTTTGACCTCCAAGGTAGTGCAGGTGAGTGTTTTCTTCACGGTGTCGCTCAACAATTAAAAATCGCAGCGTGCGCGTTAGCTAAAAGCGGACGGCGGGTCTCTGTACCCAATCAAAGTGCTCTGTCTCTCATTGCCCCTTAGCAGTGATTGACATGTTTTGACATGTTCCAGTATCCATCACTGCGTGCTCTGCCCCTTCCCAGGTTTCCCTGCTGCGCAAAGACGCGGCCAGAGCCAGCGTCAATGCCACCGTCAGTGTAAGCGTTGGCGCCCGCTGCTCAGCATCTACACGCGGTTTCATTTGGCAGGAGATATGATGGTGTACTTTTTATTTCCTTTTTACGGGCGACGCTCCTTAAAGCGGCACCCGTTCGTCCCTCGTAGTAGTGCGTAACATGTCTTACGTTTTGAACTGCAAGGTGGTACCGGTGGGAGATTTCTCCTGTGCGTTGTTGAACAATAAAGAATTCGCAGCGTGCGCGCTAACTAAAAACCGAATTCTGTCTATCATTTCCAATTAGCAGCCATTGGCATGTACATTGAGCACTATCTGACAAGAAATGGTTGCTACGTTATACTCACTGGGCATAACCTCCTTGGTTTTAGAAAGGTTTAGCGAGCGTTGGGCCGCAGTGCCATGAATACAGTACCATGAACTCGAGGGTGTTAAAGGTGGGAAGTAGGCAAGAAGCGCAAGCAGGAAGAAAGTCTGCGTGTGCCACCTCTCGTTTAGTCCTTGTAATGTCCGCTGTATGGCGGTGCTTCTATATGCGGAATAGAGTTACTGTATATGCTACCTAAAGGTAGCATATACAGTAACTCTAATGCGGAATATGGGATGAAAAGATGCGAGGTGGTGGTACTTCGAGTGTTGACTAGATGGACGAACGCACGGATGGCTGCACGGACGGATGGACGCATGGGTGGACGTGCGGACGCACGAACAGACGCACGCACAGACGGTCACACAGACGGACGCATGGACGGACGGAAGCAAGAACGAATGGACGGACGGATGCTTCGCCCCACCCTCCATCATTCACCCCTTGGATATGCTGCCATTTTTTTTTAATTAGGCGCAAAATATGTAGAAACATTAGCGCGCACGGCTATGCGATTTGCACTGCACATGAGCTATCTTGTCCATTGGTCCAGAGGACATGGCAAAAATCGAATCCACTTCCATTTCTTCTTTCGCTCAGCGTCTTCCCTCAAAAGTGCGCCCGCTCGATCACGCATCGCCGAGAACGACAACACGGCGGCGGCGGCGGCACATGCCGCGTTCCATCTCTCGCCGAGGCCGGACCGGCCGGACCAGGTGTGGGTCCCGGGGTCGTTGCTTTTCATTTTTGGCCACTGTACGGCGCGCGCACGAAGGGCGAACGCGTCTGCCGTTTTGGCGACCTCCGCGTGCGCAAGCCGTCACACGCGGCAGGCACGCCGACTGGCCCGCCTCGCACCTGGAATAATACCGTGCAGCAGGCGCCAGTGCTATACTTCAAACTTTTCTTCAACTCCCGTGAGGATATTACATTTTAATGATATCCCTGGAATGGATCGAGACAAAAAGAAAAGGCCGGCAACGATACGTGAAGTCAGTTTGTTGACAACAGTTGTTTTTTATTCGTTGTTTCGTGTCGTCAATGTTTGTTTTATTTCTGATTTCTTTTTAAATATTTCACTGGACTCTAGTTTCATATTTTGCTAGGCAAAGAAGCGCCTTTTTTAATTGGAAGATGGGTATCTAACTGGGTTCCCATAGAAGGCAAACGCACGAAGGGGAGACAAAGTTTGGGAGCCGATTAGATTAAAAATTTCGCAGGTATTATGTGACAGCAGGAAGCGCAAAACCGGGTATTTTGGCGGAAGTGTGGCAGCTTGGGCTAGTTGGTATGGCGTGACGATAGTTATAGCGCGAGAACAGAACGACGACACAGAGACCTTTTTGTCTCTGTGTCCTTCTTGTCTCTGTGTCGTCGTTCTGGTCTCGCGCTATAACTATCGTCATATTGGCGGATCATGGGAGAGGCCTTTTGCATAGTCAGGCCGATGTATGTATGTATGTATGTATGTATGTATGTATGTATGTATGTATGTATGTATGTATGTATGTATGTATGTATGTATGTATGTATGTATGTATGTATGTATGTATGTATGTATGTATGTATGTATGTATGTATGTATGTATGTATGTATGTATGTATGTATGTATGTATGTATGTATGTATGTATGTATGTATGTATGTATGTATGTATGTATGTGATAAGCACGGAAATAAAAAAAGAAAATGAGACCAATAACGTAATTGATTTAATAACAAGCATTCAGTTCATGGCAAGTTAATTTTCTCGCTATCCATGCGTGGCTCCGAACGTATTTTATACCCATTGCCTCAAGAAATGCGCTGTACGCATATTCTATACGATCTTAGTCTGGCCGTAATAACGGGTCGTTCGTACATCGCCGTATGAACAATACGCTCTGCAGCGGAAGACGACGAGGAAAAAATGCATGGGAGCGAGGGGGGGGGGAGGGAGATGAGTGTAGGGAGGAGTAATAATGACGACGCACTCGACTGACTGCTTTTATGGAACAGCTGTCGCGACCACGCGAGCGTGTCTTCGTTTTGTGTCTGCGTATCACCCCCTCCCAAATTCTTCTTTTCGAAGCCGCTTTCCCTCTCCCCCATCTGTTACGCGCAGATGCGAAGTCGACAGGGTTGACACAGCGTTGAGATAGCGACAAAAAATATTCAGGGATGATTAAGATACTCTCTCATGTTAATTTTGAGCGCAGGTTTGTGCTGGGTCTGCGCCAACAGTATTCGAAGTTTTTGCCGTCCGCGTGTTGTGGCAATGTGACGTTCGATTGTTACACATTGCCGCAGAAACTGT